TACTGATAAAGGCACAGCATTTTCAGGAAATCTAACATAAACTCCTTTTAATCTCCAAGCTTGAAACAAATGAGAGTAGCACCCTGCTCGCAAAATTTTCGCAACTTCCCTACCCATAACATAGGTGAGATTCAGACTGAGGCCCAGGCAACAGAGCCACCAGGTGGGGTGGGCACCTCCTTGGCGGAGCCCACTGACCTGAGAGGGTGGAGTCCACAAACCCCACACAGCAGCAAGGTGGGCAGCCAGCACCCATCCCAGGCCTCAGGGCCCAGCGCCAGCCCCAAATCTAAGAACACCAACACCAAAGAGACATCACGTGGGTGGTCAGCTCCACTGCCAGGCCCCAGAGCGAGGCAGTCTCATCAAAGACAACCTGTGTCCAGACGCAGTTGGCTCGCGCTGCGGCTCGGTTAGGGATATTCCCCATGTGCCACTGCAGAGGATGCCTACGTACCTCAGGATCCCTGCCCGCCCACACCTCCGAGGCAAATCCAACCACTAAACAAATGAAAAATACCAACCCAGACAGTCGGATGGCATCACTTAATCTGAGAAAAGATCTCCTTCCTCCCCCTGCAGAATCTCACAGACAAATTCCAGCCCAGAATACTAAGCCAAAAAAAAAAAGCAACAACGAAGCCATCCCAGCAGAAAGCAGCCTCGCGATGGCCTACTTTAAAGGAAGAAGTGGGGGTGGGGATAGGGCTGCTGGGAGAGTGCTTGCCCAGCATGCGTGAGACTTAGTTTGATCCCCAACACTGCACCAAAAATAAAAAGGAAAAAATGCAGGGCCTGAGGGGAAGGACAGTCGCAGCAACACCCCAGTTTACTGTAATACACCAGACTCCCCGCCCTGTGAGGGCAGGGGCACCCCACCCCCACCCCCAACCACTGCATCCCAACCCGCTAACACCAGGCCCGGACTCCAGAAGGAGCTCAAGTAAACAGGAGCATCAACAAACCCTCCCTTTTGGTGGGAAAGGACTCGGCGTCACTTGGTCCGAGATGGCTCTGAGACCACATTCCCCCCATGTTTCTCGAAGACAAGAACCTCCCACACATCCTTCTGCCACACAGCCTCCAGGAAGCCCTTGCCTCACCTGGCCAGGAAAAGACACTTCACAAACACCAGGCTGAGCCAGGCGTGCCGGCGCAGGCACTGAGGCAGGAGGCTCAGCAAGAGTTCAAGCCCAGCCTAGGCTACATAGGGAGGGCAAGGCCAGCCTGAACGACGTGGCAAGATCCTGCCTCAGAAAACTAAAAAACAAGCAAACAAACCATAAGGCTGCATTCTGGAGAGGACTTGAGTTCAGGGAAATCCTCCAAGTGGCCATGCAAGTTCCTTACACTTCCTGAGCCTCGTCCTATCCCTTTGTCCCTGGCTGCTGGAAGGATGAGATAAAATGAAGCACCTCATTAAAAGTCAGTTATAGGCAGGGGATTTAGCTCAGTGGCATAAGTGCCTGCTTGGCAAACGCAAGGTCATGAGTTCGATCCCTGGCACCAAAAAGAAAAGAAAAAAGTCAGTTATAGAACTGGGCATGGTGGCACACTCTTGTAATCTCAGCACTTGGGAGGCTGAGGCAGGCAGATCTTTGCATGTTCAAGACCAGCCAAGGCTAGCCTGAACCACATAGTGAGACCGTCTCAAAATGACAAAAATAGGTCAGTTATCATTGCAGTACAGATGGACAGTGTTCACCCGCATTTCATACCAAAGAGCTTCATGAAGTCAAGTGCCGCTGACACCACCTTCTGCGACACAGGCCTAGCTGCAGAAAGAAGTGGGAAGGAGAGGAGCTGGTGGCGAGAGGCATAGAAAACACCCACAAAGGGAGTCAGCTAGCATTCCCCCAATGGGTGCTGCAGAGAACCAACCAATACAAACCGTCTTAAAATCACCCAATATTCTCAATCCATATCTTTACCTCTCCACTTCCCTTCTGAGCCTCTTCTGCATTTTGCAAAAGCCACAGAGGGTAGGAGGGAGCCACAAAGTTGCTCCCAGGTAAGGGACAGAGAGGAGCTGGGAGAGATAAAAGAACTCAACTTGTGTCTCCATACAGAGGGGAAGACACAGAGAAGGAAAGGAACAGAAGGCAGCACCCAAATCTGGCTGACTCAAAGCCCCCTCTGCTGGGAGGACAGAGGCCTCATCCTATGAGGACAAGGGCTCGGCCCCGCACCTGCCTAAATGGATGGGCGCTTCCCAGGACTTAGCCATCTACTGACCCCTGCCTTGTAGAGCAGGACATTAGTTTTCTCAGGGTTCAACTCAGGAAAGTATCGCTGGGGACAAGACAGCAGAGGCGGGGGCCCTGGGAAGATAATGAGGGCACCTTCTGCTGGAGGCTCCGGGGGAGAGAACAGGGCTCTCTGAGCTGTGTCAAGGCCTCCAGCTTGAGCTCCTTGTAGAAGCATGGAGCCTGCTCACCTCTCACCACTGTCCTACCTGTACGACAAGGGCTGGGAAAAATGATCTGTTCCTGTCGAGATAAGGTATTTTTGATTTTAGTTTTGGTTTTGGTTTTAGTTTTGTTTTGTTTCATTTTGTTTCTTTGGTTTTTGGTTGTTTTGTTTGATTTTGAGACAGAGATTTGCTATGAAGCTCAGAATGGCCTCAAACTCATGGTAATCCTCCTGCCCCAGCTTCCCGAGTACTGGGAACACAGACATGTGTCACCATGCCTGATCTAGATAAGGATTCTACAAGACATGACATTCAGCTGGACAACTAACTCATTGCAATCCAGTCAAGCACCAAAACTGCCCTGAGCACTCAGAATACAGCCCCAAGGCATCTCCAACTGTGCCTGGGCTTTGGGAAATTCACAGACAATTCATCATCCACCAACATAGCAACACTGCACCCCCGGACTCTGGATGTCTAACCTATGACAACATGCATCCGCATCTTGGTCCACTAAAATGTCAGGGATATTCACACCAAACAAAACCCAGCAAAAGACCCGGGTCACCATGTCAACAGATGGAGCATTTTGCATGGCCACCAGGGGGCACTGCCCTGGGAATAACGAAGCAACAGAAAAACTCTTTTTGGTGTTTTCTTTTTCTTCTTAAGCTTGAGGAGCAAAACCTCTAAAGCTTGACGAATGAAAACATAAAGTGGGATTCCTTTGGTTCTAGAATGGCCCCAGGTCTTCTGCCTTCTCTCTGAAGTCAGCATTTGGACAAAGGAAGGTAACTAGACAATTGAACTTAATCCTCTCAGAGAAATTAAGGCTCTCCTCTAACTTCCCCCCAGAATGTTTTCCATCATGGGGTGTCCTGAAGCTAACCATCCCTTTAAAGGTAGGGTATTAACAAGACGAGGAGGCGACCTGCAGGTCCTACATGAAGGCCCTGGGCTGTCCAGTCTGTCTTCTCACATCAGCTAGCCACCTGGTGAAACATACCCAGCCAGGCAAATACCCAGAATGATACAAGCTCAGACAGCTACCAGTAGAGAGGGTCACAGGAAAGATCAACTGAGATTCCCCAGGTCTTATTCCAGACAGGGGGAGCTCCAGCGCCCCACATCAAAACTGGACTTCCAGAACAGCCTCTCCACGTTTCCCCAGTGTCCATGGCACCCTTTTCACAGTAAGTGGATTTACAATTCAGGGTTCAAGCTTCCTTTCCTAACATTCCCAAAGCTATGGCTGTGATTCCTGCTGATTCCCATGGGTGTTCCCAGGGCTACTCTGCATGCTTGCAGACTACATGGAGCCTTCTCTCTCCTAAGGAAGCCTGTCTGGGAGGAAAGAGCCAAACCCACCCCAGAATCAGGAGCTCTCGTAGGCCAGACTCGTCCCTCCGGCTGCCGGAGAAGGCTGTGCGTAGGGCTCACATAGGGCAGAGGAACACCAGGCCCTTGGGGCAGCTGTGAGGGGCACTGAGGTGCTGCCAGGCCTGTCTGCGTGTGCCAACTCAGCCCCTTGCCTCTGGCACCAGGCAATAAGGAAAACCAACCAGTCGCTTGTCCAAGATGTTTGGGGACCCACCACAGATGAAAATGCAAGTTGGGCACATTTTCAAAAACCAAATCTATTAAGTGGAGTCACTACATAACAAAAGGTTTCCACCTGGAGTTTGCAAAATGCCCAGGGAGGCGGGGATTACATTAGGCGAAAGGGACTTAAGTAATAGATTTTCAGTGGGGCAAAGCCACAGTCACAGAGCAAAGCAAGACATACCTGAACCAACACTTGGCACTTGGTAATTTATTAAAAATATGATCTATGAAAGCCCAGTCCCCACCACAGAGCTCCAGCATGGAAGGGGGACCCAACCCAGATGGCTGGAAGGCCATTCTGCTCCACATACTTTTACCCAGCACCCTCTAGGCACCAGCTACGCCGATCCCTGGGAGCCCCGGGTATGGCATCCCACCCTTCTGCTGAAGGGTTCCCCTTCTCAGACACGTGGCCCAGAATCACCACCCTCGCCAATTTACAAGACTGCCGGAGGCTCTAATGAGACAGCAAATCACCAGACACAAGCCAAGTGTTGCTGCTCGCTTCAGTTTGGCTCAACTGGGTGATATGCAATGACAGCGCCAGGAGCCAAGCACACGCAGGGCGCACAGTAGGTGGTGGACAAACGCTGGTGCCCTTCTCCACTAAGGGGAATGAGACTAAGGAAGAAACACGCCGGTCCAAAAGTACGTCTAAGCCGCCGGTGACAGCGTGGAGTCCCCGATCTCCCAGGTCCCTTCGCCAACCTCCAGCAGACTTTCCACCTCGCCCTGGGCGGCTGGGGGCCTCCGGGCCGGGTCACAGTGTACCTGAGCGCCCAGGACCGAGCTCATCGCCGCTGCTAGCCACCGCTTCCCTCGGACACTGCCCCCGGCCTCACGGCCACCTGGTCCTCGGACCCAGTCTCCCTGCGCGCCGCTCCTTCCCGTTTTGCTCTCGCCTCCCCGGCGCCCGCTGAGGCTGAGCCGGGCTCAGGCCAGGGGAGGAGGGGTCCCCAGGCGCCCGAGAGTCCCTCCTTACCTGCACAGCTCGGCGAAGGCCTGGAAATTGAGCTTCTTGATTTTCTTCTCGCTCAGCCAGTAGCCGACTCTCTTCCCTTTCAGAAAGGTCTGCATCTTCCTCCTCGGGCGGAGAGCCTGGGTCCGGAGGAAATCGCCCAGAGGCCGAGACTGGGGCCAGCGCGCGCCGCGAGCGTGCGGGAACCTCCTCCCGGCGGCGGGGACGCGGAACGCGCTGGGGCGCGCAGTCCTGCGGGGCGGGGCGGGGCGGGGCAAGGATGGGGCGGGGCTGGGGGCGCGGACGGGACGGGGCGGGACGCGGCGCGAGCGGGGAGGGGAACTGAAGGCGGGGCGAGGGCTGTGGGCGGGGCAGGGCGGTGCTCTACGCGGCGCGCCACTGGTTGGGCCGCCCTCAGCCCAGCCGCCCACCCAGGGCTCTCCAGCCCAACCCCCGGGGCTGTGCCGGGCTAGGGGCGTGGCCTTCTCAGACCACGCCCCCGCCCAGGCTCAGGCTACGCGCCCTCGCTCGGCGGTGGAGGCGGCGACGGCGGCGCGCCGGTCCCACCCTCCGAACCCGCGCACCGCACTCGCCGTTCCGCGTCAGGCGCTACCTTTCCGGATGCCCCGGGACCCCGCAGGACGCACACACCTACTCGTTTGTGGTCCGCGCCCGCTCCGGGCCTGGCACTGCCCCGGCCACCGCCGGAGCTCTGGGCGGCAGAGGAAGCGCCACGGCCGCCAGGGGGCGGCACAGTCGCCACCACTTAAAGGCGCCGCGCCAGCCCTCGTAGCTGCTGGAGGCTTGTGTAGCGGTCGGAGGGCGCAGAAGTCTTACTTTGCAGGAGGGGCGAGGGAAGAGAGTTGTGGTGTGGACACTTTGTGTCCGTCGTTGGAGGGTAGCCGAGCCGCGGAGCTCCGGTCCTCGGTAGCATCTCCGTGCCCCAGCTGTATTCACCCCACCCCTCGACTATTGGTTGAAACTGCAGGGGGTGGGGCGCAGAAACGTTCAATGAGGTGGCCTCCTGGTCACCGGGAGAAGCTGACCCAGGCCCAGGCTTAGGGCGTTGACCACCAACTCGCAGGACACGGCCAAAATGAAAGGAATGTCCCAGGTACCCTTCTCTTCGCAGGATGCAGGGTTGTGGGTGGGCGTCAACCTCAAAACCTGCGGTCCCTGAACCCCACTTGCCCCTGTCCAGGCCCTGCGGACCGTGAGGAGCCTTCCTGTCCTCATAGAGCACCAGGCTTGGGGAAGAGAAACGGACACGTCTCTCCTCCCAGGTACAAACAGGAAAGATGAGTTCCCTGGATGTGAGGTGCCAGGGTGGAGGCTCAGCATGTTGGAGGAGACTTTTTTAAGCTGGCGTTGGGAAATGTGAGAAAAGGAAGAGCTTGGATCCAGGAGGGACAATCTAAAGAACTGGGGCGATAAGGGGGTGAAAGGCTTTCTGGACCCAATTTCAGTGAGGCTCAGCTGAGTCTTCTTTCTGCCTCGGCTGTGACCTCTGGCCCTGTCCTAGACCCCTTGAGTCCAGCTTTAGCAAAAATCCCACTGAGTTAGGAGAATTTGCTGTGCTTGGTAGGGGACTGGTCTGTCTACAGGAAGAATCTTGTCAACTTGCCCAGAATCCCCAGACCCCTGAGGTTTTCCCTTAGTTTCCCATCCACCAATCCCCCACCCCTGTGCCTTAGCTATAAATTCCCGCTTTTCCCCGCCAGGCAGAGTGGAGCTCCAGCTCCATCTTTCCCCTGCTGCAAAACCCTCACTGCAGAAGTCTGCTTCTTAAAGTCTGCCTTGCCATCTTTCACAGGTGCTCGTACGTTTTTCTTTAACAAGGATGAGTAGGGAATGGGAAACTACAGATAGGGCTTTGCATCCTAAACTTTTAGTGCCCAGAAGACAAGGGGACAGTGTGGAGTGGCAGCTCTGTGCCTCAGAAAGGCGGCTTCTTGAAGGAGATCATGCCAAGAACACCCCTAGGGCAGAGGCAGGAAGTGGATTAAAGGCATTTAACAGGACAAAAGAAGGGAATGTGGGCAACAATTTTAGAGAGTTCACTGGCAGAAAGTCAACAGAAAATCTCAGTCCCAGGCTAGAAATGCTCTGGCATAGTTAGGGGCAGAGAGAGCTGTGGAGGCTCAGTGGTCCAGGTGCCTTCCAGGAGTTGTTTTATTCCTTCAACAAACACAAGGGCCCCACGGGTAACATAGAAGCTCTTGAGCACTGGGGTAAGAGATGGGTAAGGGTGAGCTCTCAGCAGAAGAGATACAAGCCATTGATTCCAAACAAGTGATGAGAGCCGAAAGAGAAACACGGCAGGACAGGGCTATCCGTTCTGCTTTGATGAAGGCTGAAGACTGTGGCCCCCGGTCTTGAAGGATGAGCAGAAGCAGGAAGAGGCATTCTAGGTGGGAAGCCGAATAGGTGCGAAGATTCAGAGAACAGGAAAAGACCATGTAACTAGTTGGGCGTGGGCAGATGTGGCCTGAGCAATGGACTGAGGAAGGACCATGGAGAAGTGTTGTACGTGTGGTCACCTCCTAGTGGGCTGCTGGGTGAAGTTCTGGTGTCATCTGAAGAATGGGATAAAATGCTACCCTCTGCTAAGGTGCCAAGAACACCCTGCCCCTGAGAGCCAGGTATGTTGAATGAGGTACCAGGAGTCCTCAGGCTCACAGAAAGCTGGTTCTTCAAAGCCCTGCCCTCGGGCCTGCTTCTCCCCTGATTACAACCTCATGCTTCTTCTTTCTGGTCTTCCAGGTTGCACTTGGTGAGTTGTGTCCCTACAACGGAGAACAAGAGACAGCAAGAAGACCAGATGGCTGGAGCAGGAGGAGGAAAGCAGGAAGTAGAAGCCAGAGAGAATGACCAGGTCCCGCAGGGTACTGGGCCTCGCCTTCTAAGTGAGATGGGACTCTCTAATTGCATCAGGATCACCTGATACGAGCTCGAGCAAATCAAAGGAGAGAGACCAGCTACGTGGCCACTGCAGTGACCTCAGCCAGCAACGATGAGGGCTCAGCCCAGGTGGCAAAGAGTGGGCAGATTGTAGGAAGAGCTCAAGGGGAGCTGAGGGATTTGCTGTGGCTGGCACATGGGACATCACATGCATCTGAGGTCCCTGGTCCAAGTAGTTGGACAAAGGGAGTTGTAAGCAGTTAAAACAGGAAAGACCAAGGAGGTTCAGGTTCGGGGGCTTAAGTCATGGGTTCTGTCTTGGACATGTGCCAGATAACCAGCAGAGATGTCAAATAAGCAACTTGATAAAAGAGGCTGGAGCTCTGGGCTGTGACTCAGGTGAGAGATAAAATCGGGAGTTGCGAGAGGTCTCTCTTAGAACCACAAGACTGGATGAGGTCACCCAGGACGTGAAGGGTAGGAGGAGAAAAGGTCAAGGATGAACCAAGGGAGAGACAGTGTTTGGAGGCTAGCTAGGGGGTGAGGAAATGGGAGGAAATCCAGGAGAGTTCATAGTCCAGGAAGCCAAGGGAAGGTGGGGTCTCTGGAGAAAAGGGACAATCAGGTGGATGGAATAAAGGCGGGGCTGACAGATGGCATTGGATCTCAAAGCTGGGAGGTCATTGGTGGCCTTCAAAAAAGATACGGGAACATCTTTGGGATATGTTGTATCAAAAGAAGCCAGGTGTAATGCAGGACATGTGATAGGCTTCCTCTGCATAAAGCAGCATCTAAATGATAGGTTTGTGTGAAAGATACCCAACAGTCCATGCATAGCAGTTCCCTTTGGGGAGAGAAACGGAAAGGAAAAACTTGGAATGAAGGGAGCCTCATTTTTGTGAATATCTATTGGCCAATTAAAACATTTCTAATCAAAAGTATACTACTTTTGCAATTACAAAATAGATGAGTAAAACACATGGCTGTTATGAAACAGGGAAACCTATGACGTGCTGGGTTACAAGTCCAGAAACATCTGTTGCCTGTAGAAACGGCTGTGCAAAGAAAGGAAACCCTCAGAGGCAATCATGCGGGTTTTCTAATCCTTCACCAAGCTGAAAATGGATCAGGAGAAACCAAAATAGCACTTGCCAATAGAACAAATTGGTATTACCATGCTTTAAAACACTGAAAATAGTTACTTACCATCATTTAAAATTGACTGTGTATTTTCTGTGATTTGAATGTGGTTCAGTTGTGTGTCCCTTAAAGATTGTGTGCTGGAAGTTTGGTTGCCAGTGTGGCTGTGTTGAGGTGGTGGCCCCTTAGGACGTGGGACCAGGGTGATAAGGGTGAGTGGGGCCCTGCCCTCCAAAAGCGACAATGTAACTTTCCATGGACCCTCGTTAGTTCCCAAGGAACAGGTTGTCAGAAGCTGGAAAGCCTGGCCCTTCAGTCTTCTTGCTCCCTTTCTCATACAAGTTCCTCCCATGGCATCATGTGCCGTGTCGTGATGTACTCAGAAGGCTCCCACCAGAGGCAAGTAGAAAGCTGTGCCACACTCTTGATCCTCCAAAACTATGCAAGAAATAAACCTCCCTCCTCTCACAGAAACACCCAGCCTCGGGTGTTTTGTTACAGTGAAAGAAAATAGATTAATAATCAAATATCCCAAATTGCTGCCTCTAGCCCAGATGCATAGCCAGCCCCTGTGTGGCATGTGTTTATGTGGTCCCCTGATCTCCTGATCTAGATGAGTCCCCCTGGTGAAAGAGATGGCGTCAGTTGCCCTGTATAAATTCTAACCTTCTAGTTTGTCCAGTTATTTTCCTCATGGTGCCATTTAGCTTGTCCCTGTCTTCCCTGCATTTCCTGCAAACTTGAAATTATATCTGAAACCTTGATTGGAATCAAAGTAAAACCCTTTAGCTGAACTACAGTGTGGATAGTGTTATGTATACTAGCAAATACAAAGGGTCTGGCTGTGTGAAGATTCTTACATGGCCCAAATCCTAACCCCTGGGTGACTCCCTCTTGTGTCCCCTCCTAGATGATAGCTTCTACCCCCAGAACTATAAAAGTCCCTTCTATTCAAAAATCACAGATGGGGCAGCATGGTGGCTCTGGGAGGATCACAAATCTCAAGCCCGGTCTGAACAACAGCAACTTAGACCGTTTCTCAAACTAAGAAATTAAAGGGTTGAGGATGTAGTTCAGTGGAAAGGCCCTGGGTACAATCCCTAATCCTAAAGAATGAAGTCACAGGTGACTTCTGCCTGCCCCTGTGTTTCCTACGAATAGAACTATAGGAGAACACTTGAGCGTTCACTGTCATCTGCGAGCTAAAGCCATGCTGTGTGCCGTTTCCCCCAACATTGTCTTAGTTTATTCCTGCACTTCTGCTGGCCATGTCCTTGCTGATAATAGACCTAATGATTTTAACACCAATTGATAATCTTGCCTTCATCAGTGATTTCTTTGGAGGTCACAAAACTAATCAGGCACTAAAGTTGGTCATCATCCCAGGAAAAGGTTGGGTAGAGAGATTTGAACTTGTATCAGAGGGAGAGCGGGAGATGATTTCATCTGAGATATGTTCATTTAAAGAATACACGTGATACTTGATATACAATTTCCAGAGAACACTTTTCTCTTTTCTTTTCTTTGAGATAAGGTCTCACTATATATAGTTCAGGTTGGCCTGAAACTCACTAGCTACCCCAGACTGGCCTCAAATTCACAGCAATCCTCCTGCCTCAGCCTCCCGAATGCTGGGATTACAGGGATGTGCCACCATGCCTGGCTCCCAGAGAACTCTTAAATCTACAACTTCCTCTACTTCTGCAGCCACTCTACAGAAAGGCGGCCTTTTCCATTTTACAGAGGGAGGACCCTGACATATAATGTGCCCCGCTGACAGTTGCAGGGCACGGTGATGGCCAGTGGGGTTTGTCCCACTCTCCTGCTGGGCTTTCCCTGCTAAGCTTGTTACAGTGAGAGGCACAGAGAGGTCCAGGGCCGGAAGCCTCTTCGCTAGACCTCCAGCAGGGAGAAGGAAGGAAATGCTCAGCGAGGTACAGTTGCAGCAGCATTTCGAAATGCAGTTCTGTGCAGCAACTGCCCTTTGTGCAGGCCAATAAACCAAGGCAGAGGCAGAGCCTGCGCCAGTCGCCCAAACCAGGCCTCCTCCGCCAAGGCCAGCTCTGTCGGCCGCTACGTCTGTGCCCAAGGCCAAACCGAGGAAACCTGTAAGCAGGTCTCAGTGGAGCTCAGTCTGCATGACGGCCCCTTCTGAAGGATCCGTTCTCCACCCAAGGCCTGGGAAATGCCCTTCTCAAAGCCACCATTCCCCTCCGTGCCAGACATTTAGTGACATTCCTTAAATCCTCTGTGGCACTTAGAAAACATAGCTATTGACTAACTATATTAAGAAATGCCATGGGCAGCCTACCCCTGGCCAGCCCCCTGGGCCCCAGGGACGTCCGCCCTCTGGGTCATGGGGAAAGAGGCCCCTGATGGCCTCTTGGATCCTAAATTGCTTTTCCTGGCACGGGCTTGCCTTCAGGGCTGTGCCAGACTGACAACTGCAGTGGGACCTCACTTTATGAGAAACCTAGATTTTATAAGAAAGCAAGCACACAGTGCGCCCTTGAGTCTGATCACCATTTGGTCCATGTGGAGTCCCAGCACCACACCTGGGCATGGGGCTGCACAGCAAGGGGAGCACTGGGACACGCGACCCGCGGCCGTGCACCTCAGCTCCCCGAGTGTACTGCTCGAGGGGGTGTGCTTCGGAGTCCTGTTAAGTTGTGGGTTCTGGGGCGCAGGGTTGGGGGTGGCTCTGTGGTCGAGCACATGCTTAGCATGCACACAACCCTCCTGAAATCCCCAGCACCATAGAAACAAGCAAAAAACTCTTCAGGTTCCAGGTGGGGCCTGAGACTGCATTTTTGAGCAAGGAGGGAGAAACGGCAAGGAAGCACTCATGAGCTGTTCTCTGCCTGTGTTAGGGTGCCTGAAGCATTCAGTGAACAGAGACTTCTGGTGTGGAGTCCACTCCAGACCTGTTGAATCAGAATTCTTGGCTGGAAGAGTAGAAGGGAGAGTTAGACTCCCCAAAATAAAAACAGCACCGTACCTGCAATGAAATGTAATGAAATGAATTTTAAAACTCTGCATCTACTTAAAGAAATGCAAAAAAAAAAAAAAAATAGAGCCCCCTCCCCTAGATATTGGGGTGCACAGGAGAGCTGAGAATTATGCCAGTGTACCGGTGTGCTGGAGAAGGACGAATCATGGAATTATTGTCATCATTTATGATCAGTTAGTCAGTACTCGGTATAGTCTTTATGGTTAAAAATAATCACTACTATGAATGCTTTTTTTGTGTGTGTGTGACTCTTTAAGACAGGGTTTCACTATGCAGTCCAGGCTGGCCTCGAACTCACAGCTATCCTCCTACTGAGTTCTTCGATGATAGGTGTGCACCACCATGCCTGCCCCCGCCCCCAATGCATTTGTAAGACTCCTTGAATGCGCAAGTAGTGGCTGTACAGCTCTCGTCACACTGCCACACGCCGGCCAGTTATTTCCCCCCGTTTTACAGCTCCAGAAACTGAAACTTCCACCCTTACAGAAAGGATGAGGCTGGGGTCGAGCTGGCTCAGAGCCTGTGCTACTAACCCAGGCAAAAGCAAACCACAGCCAACACAAAGCCTACCCTTGGGGCTGGGGGTTTAGCTGAGTGGTATAAGTGCCTGCCTGGCAAGCGTGAGGTCATGAGTTCAATCCCCAGTACCAAAAGAAAAGAAAAACCCTACCTCCTATTGGTTTTTGCACAACCATTAGGCAAAGAATGGCTTTCACATTTTTTAATTGTTGGCGGGCGGAGTCAAAAGAAAAAGAGTTGATTGTAAGTGGAAATGCCACAGAATCATGGCAGCATCATGAATCCAGCTGCTGGAAGAGTGACACCCGTTCCTTTAGGTCTTGGCTCCTCTCTGGCTTCTGTCCAGCCATGAGAAGGAGCTGAGTAGCTGTGACAGTTACGCTATGGCCCACAGAGACCTAAAACCACTGGTTTGCTGACCTCTGCTCAGAATGGTTTCACTGTTTATAATTCCCTACTTTCCTTTTTTCAGCATGCTAGTGAGGACTCTCCTCCTCCACCCCCAAATTCCGCTAATTTGAATGTGCATCAAGTTGCTGTTATAGGGTGATTCAACAATAATAAGCCAGTTGGTTGTTTGCCCAAGAGACCTAGTGTGTGGATTGGAGGCCACGGATTCAAACTCAGTGAGCATTCCGATGTGTGACCCGTGAAAATGTTTACAGCAGTAGGAAATCTCGGGGCTTGGCTTTCTCTCATAGATATAGCAACACCCAGTCTTACTGGAGCCTGGGCCCAGCCTGCATTAGACAGCTGGCTAAGAAAAGCAAATGACAGTCTAGCACGGTGGCCCACAGTTGTAATCTCAGCACTCAGAAGGCTGAGGTAGGAGGATTGCTGCAAGTTTGAGGCCAGCTTGGGCTACATAGTGAGTTTAAGTCCTACTCAAACTGTATCGTGAGACCTTGTCTAGAAAATAAACAAGGCACTGTGGTCCTAAGCCCCTCAAAACAGGCATGGCATGAAACTTAACTTCTTATCCTAAATTATGTCTGGTTCCAACGCTTGTGGCAACTAAGATATGTCTATGAAATATTATTTTTAATTTGTTAGAAAATAGACAAGCTGAGAGTAGGCCTCTGTGAGGTAACCTGGAGTAGGTCTGGATTCCTCCTGCCTGCCGGAGAAGAAAGGATTCTGGAGAGCCTTTCCATCTTAGGGTGAAGGGGCACTGATGACACTCAAGCCTTGCCCATACCACTGAGCTGTGTACCCAGCCCTTGTTTTGCTTTTAATGATGATGCTGGTAACATAGTCATCAAGGGGTTTTTTGGGGGGAAAAATTACCCAACCTAATCACAGTTAACATTTATTTCCTAGCTGGGCATGGTGGTGCACACCTGTAATCCCAGCACTCAGGAGGCTGAGGCAGGAGGATCGTTGCGAGTGTGAGACCAGCCTGGGCTACAAAGTGAGCTCAAGGCCAGCCTGCACTGCACAGGGACACCCCGTCTCAAAAAGACAAAAACAAAACATTTATTTCCTGCTTGTGTCTATTCTATAAATGGGTATCGTGTTTTACATTTCACAGCCTGTCTTCTCTTAAGCATCTTCTGCATTACAACAGCCTTATAATCATTAGTTGGAATATCTGCCTAATATTCTGCCCACTGGCTAATTAGACCATCAATTCACTTCACTAGCCACTGATGCTGAGTACCTGACTTATTCCTGTTTTACTTCAAGTCAGAAGAATCGTGAGGATTTAGCAGTTTGTCTAAGTACAGCCCCTGCCCTGTAAGCACTAGCAATTATTAAAGATAGTGCAGCATGCAGATCTTTGGCCGTAAGGCCTGCCTATGACTAAGTCCTTGGAAATTCACTGAGTCCTCCTCAGTGAATTACTGGGTCAAACTCTAAGTCAGAGTTATTCCCTGGGTGGCTTGAACTTCTTGGGTAGTTCCTAAACTAATGATGCTTATTCAGTAGCATCCTTTTTTAGTACAAAAAGGGCTGAGGGGCTGAGCATGGTGATGCATGCCTGTAATCCCAGCACTTGGGAGGCTGAGGCAGGAGGATTGCAGTGAGTTCAAGGCCATCCTGAATTATACAGCAAGACCCTGTCTCAGGAAAAGTACAGACTGAGTTTTTGTATGTAAACTACATCCTGTAATAAAGCCCCGGACTCACTTTGTTCATTCCCTTTAAAGACACCGGTCAGCCTGGGTCACTGATCATATTTACATGCAGCTGGCAGGTTGCAAATGGGAAGATAGAAAACCCAGTTAAATCTGAATATCTCGTAAGCAATAAATAATTAT